AAAGCAGCAGAACAACAACTGAAGGTGGTGACAATGCTGATTTAATTTTCATTATTCAACACGTCTTCATTACAAAATAAAAGTGTAGTTTAGCAGAAAAATTTGAATATTTGGTTTAGCCTTAAACACATTATAACTCCCATCTGGCAGGTGCAGAAATATTTTATTATCAGCCGCAGTGGAAAGTGTGACGGTGTGGTTTTTTTTTTCCCTTTTGTCCGGTATCTGCTGCCACGGTGAACGTATAAGAAGCTGTCAGAGCTCTGAATGAGCCACTGGGCAGATTACAGACTGTGAAGCTGCTGTGTGTTTGACACCAAATGATAATACCGCAGAGACGGTGCCACAAACGCCACGGCGAGGTGCGACTCTGAGTGACATTTAATAAGATCCGGAGAGCGACGGACATAAATCACCAGCACCATCCTGACAATACCGCTCCGCTGCTGCCATTGGTTACTCCAAGGCTGCCAATAGAAACACAAACACACACTTTTCATTCATTCTGGTGTCTCCTCTATGCAGCAAATGTTTAAAGCCTCTGTGGTGTGAGACACTAACACATTTCACTTTAAAGCAGTGAAGATAAAATTATACGTGGTGGTTATTTCTGATAGAGGCTTGTAATTAAAACCTTAGCTGCATTCCTGCGAAGACGAGCTCTAGATCATGCACTTAATCACACAAAACACACTCACACATAGAGTACGCACACACAAAATGACATATACTCACACCTGAGGCATGTACCTGTTCTTATTGTACTGGGTGAAGGTGATATATGCTGTGGTCTGGTTAGGTCTGGAAAAAAACTGCTTCGCCTCCACCTTCACGCCCACACCACCCCCCCAAGACTTATACTTTCTGACATTTAATAACATCCTCCTGACTCTGTGATAAAAGGGTGTGAGGTTTATTGCAGTGTTAAGTTTGATATTTTAAAAGATTCATGGAAAACTTTGGGTGTGGCAGTTCTTCAGAGGTAGGCAGGGAGCAGACGGGATGACGGATCTCTTGACATGTTGATGGGATGCTCCCCTCTTCTGGAGGCAATAAGCTATTGCAGTCCAACAACACAAAGGAACATTATCAGGCTGCATTTCTGTTTATGATTGAATATCAGCTATTTTCCTTATGGAGGTGCCATAAAACAAAATGCTAAAAAAAAGTCACTAACACATTTTCATTATTTAGCTCACTTTGAGTGTAAAAGTTTTACTAAATGTTAAATGTCTTGTAGATATTACATCCTAAATCTAAATGTGTAAATCTATAAACGTTGTGGCTAAATGTTATAGTGATATGCTTTTTTAATCTTACTTTTTCACATCAAAATCATTCAGTTTTGGGTCTGAACTCCTCCTTATTGTAACTTTAAAGGCTCCCCTTTCCCCCTTTTCTGAGGTGTGTCTCAAAGTTTCTGGTTTTGATTCTTTAAACAGTGTTAAGCCCCGCCCCCCCTGCATCTTTCAGACCGATCCACTCCAGTTTGAGAGAGGTGGTTACCATTTTCTAGCAGTGCAGAAACGTTTTATTTACAAGTTAATGAAAATGTATCATCTGAACACTGAATATGAAGATGATTTTGCAGCACAAAGAAATACTAAATTAAACTATTCTGCCTTCCTACAGACTCCAAGTACACAATAAAAACGTATTTAACAGCTAAAAAAAGTGGATTTTGCACAATATGTTCCCTTTAAAGTTGACATTTAAGTATTTCAGAATGGAACACAGCCTTTGCCGTTGGTGCGTGCTTTTGTTGTGATGTCATCATCCTGTGACAAAAGCAATAGCTAATACTGCTAATGCTACTAAAGCTGCTAAGGCTTACCCTACAATACATTAAACTTGCAGTTGTGGCTGGTGTCTGAACGGACCACAGGTACCATCCATATTGGTTTCAATAAACAAATTTTAAATGACATCTTCAGCAGCGTTAGCAACGTTAGCAGCATTAGCAGCATTAGCAACGTTAGTAGCATTAGCAGCATTAGCAACGTTAGTAGCATTAGCAGCATTAGCAACGTTAGTAGCATTGGCACAACAAAGCTGTGCACCAATAGCAAAGGCTGCTTTCAATTCTAAAATTTTGAAATGAAAGCTTTATCATTTAGCTGGAACATTTTATATTTATTTTTACATTTAGATTTACACATTTAGATTAAGGATTTAAAAAATATACCTAACATTTAAATTTAGCATTTTAGTAACAATGTGCAAAATGTACAAAATAAAATGTTAGCAATTTCGTTTAAACTAGGATTTTAGTCACAAGTGAGCTAAAAATAAAAATGAGTTAGTGACTTTTTTAATATTCTATTTTTACACGTGGTGCCCTGCATTTTCCTTAACATTGACGGGAAAAGTTTAAGTTAGCAGCATAACTAATCCAAAATTACAATAAACTGATGGTTGAAGCACTGAAATTCCAATATATAATGCATTCTTTTTTTACACTGTATAACAAAAAAAAAACCATGTAAATTATATTAAAGATAAAAAAAATAAATAATTTAAATATCAAAGCTGTCTCAAAAGTGCATATATGATGCTTAATTTCCCCCCCTTGTCCAAATATTTATTCAATTTATTTACGTTTTTTTAAGCTAGCATTTAGCTTTATTTTAGCTAGTGTTCTGCTTGAGTTTCAGCTTTGTCTGGAGCAAATTTCAGTTATTCAACGCTCAGCATTCACATTACAGTTTCACTGTGATTTCCTGTGGCAGTGTTGATATATGTTCAGTTTGTGTGTTTGGTAAAGTGTCTCGGGGATAATGGTTGAACGGTCAGGAGTGATTAGACACTATTCACCAGCGAAAAGAAAAACAACAACATTTTAGTAGCTTCAGGCTTGTTTGGGTTCTTTCTTATTTCCCACACAGACGCCTCACCATCTGCAGGGTCGGGCCAGCTCCCATCATCCAGCCTCAGTCGTCCTCATCCGTTACTGCTTTTTAAGTGTTTCTCTCACATGCCGACACTCTCACTAACACAGACATTTTGTAAGTGAAGTGGGTCAGAGGGTGGAGGAGATGAACGAAAGTCTGAATAGAAGGGCGGAGGGATGAATGGATGGATGAATTAATGGGTGGATGGACGGGTAAAAGAGAAGATGTAAAGAGGTCAGAGAGGCTCAGGCTGGCTGCAGTCCATCACAGATATCCTCTAGTCCTTCAAGTAGAACTTCACCAAGAACATGAGGACAGATGGTTTATGAAAAACTGATTTGGGGATTTCTCATTTATAGCGATAAATAGAAGGAATTTAATTATTATTATTTATACGTTATTATATAATTATAATTTGTCATTTTTTCTTTAGTTCTTTATATTGTTTAAACGTAGAAACACGATCAGTTACTGATTGAAATTCTAGTCCAAAATGTCTTGAAAAAGTATGTCTTATTGGAAGCAAATGTAAAAAATGATAAATGGCTCAAGACTTGGAAAACTCCCCACATCATAGTGTTTATATAAACTGAACTGCATCAATGATCAAAAGGCTAATTCAAATTTCTTAAACATTAATAGGACATAGTAATTTTTTTCTAGTCCGTTACTGAGCTTTCCAAATTCATTAAAATGTTTACACACTGCTCCTTTATGTCCTGATGCATCTCAGTAATCCAGGTAGAAAAATCAAAAAGAAAAAAATACTCTTTCAGGGATGAAGATGTTCTCATCTTTGATAGAGAGAAACGTTGGTTTGAGAGGTGAGTAAAAGAAGCCATTTTGGTGAAGAAAAACCATCCACCATTAAACAGAGGTGGAGGCCTTCGTGTCCATTTGTCCTCCTCCTACAACGCTGTTATTGCAAGTATGACTCCGCCCCCCTGTGAGCAAAAGGTGTGAATCAGGGCCCCAACGATAGTCAGGTGACAGGCCACATGATCCTCCATGAACAATAGTTAATCAAGGCACTAAAGAGCTGTTGTTAGGCGATGGCCCTCTTTTGCATGTGACTAACCTGTTTGTCCACCATGTGGAGGCAGTGCTTATAAGGCTGAGTTCATCTGAAACTCCTCAGACTGAAGAAGTCTCTTAGAGGAGAGACGAAACATTTAATTAAAGAAAACCCCGTCCAGAGGACCTACTTATTTTTTTCTTTTTGACTGCTGCTTTAGTTTTCATAAAATATCAAAACAATATAAAGAAAAGTCTAGACCATTAAACACAAAGTTTACTGGCCCACTGCAGCTCTAATGACAAAACAGAAAATATGTGCAGGATGTTTTCACTGGCACCATTCCATAAGACTGATTTGTGAACAATGTCCCATCACAGCCATAAATTACCTTTTGAGATCATTTACTTAATTAAATACCCAAGTGTGCGGGTTTGTTTAAGGATAAACATGTGCAATTACCTTGTAATCTCTGTGTGTAGCTCAGGGGGCCGTGTTGGTATATGGTTAGGAAAGGATGTTCTGAAGAGCATTTGCATGTGTATGGTTTTGCTACTTAGAGAGAACGACTGACCATTTTCCCAGTACACACAGCCTTGTGAGGACCCACTGTACCTTACGGGGACAAAGGCCCGTCCCCCTTTTGGTAAATACCATCGTTGAGTCAGGGGTTATGGTTAGGACTAAGGTTTGATTTGAGTTTATGTTAGGTTTGGGGTAAGCGGTCAGGGCTAGGCTGTAGAAAGTCCCCATGAGGATAGAAGAACAAACGTGTTTGTGTGTGTGTTCCTATTTGTCTCGTTACCAGTTTGAGCTGCCAATGTAATCACCATAAGAAAGACTCTGGAAACAAACTCTCTAACCTTACCAGCCTCGTTACCCTCCACTCCACCCCCACCCCCAAACTGGCAGCTTCTGGTAACAGTAATACACACACATACTGCCTTTTCATCTCGTTCTTTGTACTTTTGAATCTGGTAAGATTCATAAAATTTGGGATGGTTTCTGTTTAGTCAGTTGGACAAGTAGCAAGACTCGTTTAAGCTTAAATCCAATACATAAACAAAGAAAAGCACATAATGCAACACGCTTACCTTTCCACAACATCCTGACCGCTCCAGCAGGTGTGCTGCTCGACCTCCATTTCACTTTCGCAGAGTATTTCAGGCAGCTCAGAGAAAAACCACCGATACCGCTGGATGGAGCCCTCAAACTCTCTACGGAACAGAAAGTTGCACACGATTAAAACACAGCTGAAATAAAACATTTGCACCAGCGCAGGGGCAGTTCTAGGGGCGGGGCCACAGGGGCATCAGCCCCAGCTGAAATTTGACTGGCCCCCTGAAGTGCCCCCCCCCCCCCCTGTCCTGTCACTCATCTGTCCTTTGCAGAGAGCTATGATGCTGAGTGCAGTTCCTTGTCGATACACTAATGGCACTATTGAGTCAAAAAAAAAAAAAGTCCAGCATGAACCTTAACAAAAGTCTTCTTTTCTTTTTGAACAATCCTGCAAAAGTCTTTCAACTGAAAAAAAAATGGCTGAATTTCCTCACATGTCTCTAATTTCCCAAACACATTATTTTTGTGTACAATAGAAGTGCATGTAAAATTAGTTAGGAGAATTTACTTAATTTAGCTTTTTTAATTACCTTACAAGTGTTTAAACGTGTGATTGGTTAAATGTATACGCTGTGCCAAAACTGGGTATTTGTGTGCAAGGATGTTGAGCAAATACTTGGACCCTCTATAAATATTATGGTAAATGGACTGTACTTGTATAGCGCCTTTCTACCCAACCAGGATACTCAAAGCACTTCCCACTACAGTCTGTGACCTCATCTACCCGTTCACACAGCACTCTACTAGATCTCTACAAAGCTAACATGCAATCAACTATGGAGACTAATCAGTGCCAATCACATTCATACACTGATGGGACACACATCGAGGCATTAGGGGTGAACTGTCTTGCCCAAGGACACAAAAACTGAGACAGATGGAATTGGGGATCGAACTGGTGACCTTCCAGTTCCAGGACAACTCCCCTAGCGACTCTACCCCTTGGTGGCACCCTACTCAGAAAAATCCTACATCCACCACTGCACCAGTGTTTCCTACCCTGAATCTAAAGAAAGTGTAAAGTTTTAACGACACTAAGATTGTTATTGTACTTTTTCTGGTCAAAATTAAGTATAAGTGACTGGTAATTTTAAATGGAAATCATAGATATAAGTACAAAGGGCCTCAGAGAAAAAAGGTTGAAAACCACTAAATCACTGCTTGTTTGGAACATTTTCGTCATGACTTTTTAATAGTCGAACCATCTAAAGCTACTTGAAACAATACTTTTCAATGTTAAAGATTTTCAATGTTAAAGATTTAACAACCATAAAATAATCACATTAAACAGATAACTGGGCATCAACTCATTTATTTGACCTCTCCTTTATATGAAAAACAACACTTTTGTTCTGAAACAGAACAACTCACCTTGAGAGTTTTTTCAGGCTTCGACTCTTGTCTCCTTTAGAGCCTTTAAGAGGGAATGACCTGCAGACAACGTGTAAAAAAACAGATTAAATGTAAAATTCTATTTTGTACAGTTTGAAGTAGGGATGCATGATATATCGGCATTAACGTCGGTATTGGCCGGTATTGATTATTTTTTCGCATATCGGTCTGATAAGTAAAACTGGGCCGATATTAACATCCAGTATTGATTTCCCCCTTTTTATCTTTGTGTTTCTGTTCTGGGAGGGGAAATGGTTGGTCGAGTGGTACCTGTTTGATCATTATAGTGATAGTGACACTACTCAGCCAGGAATAACTGAAGCAGAGAGCCATGTCAGTGCTCTGGTCATTTATTTAGGTCACATTTACTCCTGATAGTCCGGTAGACTCCATTCGATTATGGACAAATTTGCAGCGTGTTTACATTTTAATTTGGTGCGATTCACATTCACACTGCACTTTGTCAAACAAAAAAGTGTAAAAAATCTGTCCCCCTTCTCACCTGTGGGGGCGCTGCACCAAGAACCACTGAAGGAATCAACATGAAAACCTCAGAAAAAAGACACGGAGCACAACTTCCTTCTTCGCAAAATGTAAACAAACATGGAGTAACGTCAGATTTCAGTGGTTGTAGGATTAATTTTTTGGTTTTGGCAAATGTGCCACAAATAGTTTTCAACAATGAGCTCAATATGAGAGGAAGATGGAGTGGAACTGCGGAGAATATTGTTTTTCCACACGAGGTGGCTGAGACGGCTCCGTGTGAGGCAGCGTTCACCGAGTAGGAGCGCATCCAACTTCACAGCAGTGATGTCCACCTTATACAGACATCCAGCGGGGTATTCATCAAGATATGAGTAACTTTATTACTGTTATTACTCAGAATGACCTGCGTTATAAACCACTTCCTGTTTTTGAAGTGGTCTTTGAAGTGGTCTCTGGTCTGCTTGGCGTTCACACAGGCAATCAAACCACACCAGAGTTTGTCTACTTTTACAGGCAGACCAGAGTTCACTTTTTTTGGGTCCAAATCAGAGCTCAATTATTCAAACCCCACAAATGAACCGGACTTTCCAGGCAAACAAACTTGAGTTCAATTAAAGTGGACTAAACAGGGCTGGTGTGAATGCACCCTTACATTATCAAAGTGTGTTTGTGCGTATATGTATATAAATAATTTCTGTAATTGTGTAATATCGGTAAAAATCGGTTATCGGCCATAACACCAAGAATAATATCGGATATCAATAGCGGCTGAAATTTTCATATCGGTGCATCCCTATGAAGAAATTTATAATTATTACAGATCAGTAGGGTGTCTAATTATAACATTGTTATTGTTATATATTATGTGTTAATTGAAATAGAGTAGATACATGTCCAAATCATTAAACAACACATATATTTATAAAGCTGTAATAAGAGTGAAGTTTGTTTGTCTGAATGCCTGGGGTTCAGCCGTAGACCACCAGAGGGCGAACTCAGGCATTGAAGATACTGGAATGTACTGTATTTAACAGGTGACTTCCTGTTTCTGGGTCAGTGTGGTTTCGCTCTTACAGATCATATTATTTAACATTTGTGGTTTAATCTGATCGTCAGTCGATATTAGAACACGTATTTCTAACAGTTTGGTGACCCCGACGTGATTTGAACACGCAACCTTCCTTTGTAGTTACCTGCCTAAGATATTCTAATATAGTTAAAGACGTATGTCAGATGTGGAAAAACTCACTTCCGTGGCTGTGACGGTTGTTGAATCAAAGGAGGCGAAGTCACAGACGACCTTTTCGAGGTTTGTAAAGTTTCTGGAGTTGTGGTGTGTACTTGGGTTGATCTTGTACTGCTGATCATGGAACCAGGTGCGTGGGGCCCACAAACTTTCTCTACCTGCGCAGGAGACAGGTTTTTTTTTTTATTATTATTATAAGACCGGAGCAGTTTTCAGAAAGTTAAACATGGAGTTCACACATTGTGACATTTGCTTGCAGAACCAGCTTCTGTTTAATTGAATCCATTGATCCGGTGTCACTGCTTTTGTGCCACAAGCTCTGTCAAAAGACGAATCCACTCCTAGAAAACCTATTTAAGATTTTGCACTGTTTTCCCTCTATTATTATATATTTTTGCCAATTGTAGTTAAGTAGAAAACCAAAACTAGTTTTGCTAATTTGTCAGCTATAATTTGTATTTATTCTAATAACATTTGACTGGACAATTCCACAGTAATCAATCTTCCAAAAGTTCAATAAAACTGTCTGCAGGAAAAAGAGAAATATCCTTCATTAAAAGATCTTATAAGCGGGGCTTCTAGACTTCAGCTTGACCTTTACTGCTCCTTTTGTTGGCCATTTTGTTATTTATATTGTGTGCCGAGACAAGAGAAGAAGAGTAGACTTTTCAAACATCACACATAGCTCACATACTTTGCTGAAAGAATCAGCCTTTTTAAGTGTATTAAATAAATAAAATAATCAAATTTTCACTAAAAATGTTTTTTTAGCCACAATTAATGGCTTAATTCTGCCTGTGGGTGTTTGTTTATCTCTCAGGAATCTACTCTAGGTCCATAGTGTTCTTTTAGAGTTAGATGGTGACTATCTTTTCCTCCAGCAGTGTGTGTGTGTGTGTGTGTGTGTGTGTGTGTGTGTGTGTGTGTGTGTTGTTTGACCACAGATTAGCCACAGAAACTTTCTCATCACTCAGACTCAAGCAGCATTCTGGGTTTGGGTTGTCCCGCCAACCGCAGTCTTTGTCTGGCACTGGATCTGTATTCCCACTCACACACTGCTGAGGAGGACACACACAGACCGAGGGGAGCCCCGGACCCTCTGAAGAATGAGCCTGTTTTTAGCCCATCTAGGTACAAGAAGATCCAACTGCCGGGCAGAAAGAAACCCACGGCCTTTCTCTCTCTGAGCCCGGCGCTTAAATGACTTTATTATTGGTGAGGATGTTTACAAAGCCAATTTAGATTTCCACGGAAGCCGAGAGCGTCCGTTTTCCGCACACAATTACTTTCCATGGTTTTCTCGTGTTACGTCGACATTACGTCGTTATCGCAAAATAACGAGGACCGTTTTCTCGAGATAACGAGTTAATTTCCAGATGGTTTTCCTATCTTGCATCATTCAGTAACCATGGCCTGGTCCCCTCAGCTGGTCACTGAAGAAGTTTGCTATTTATTTACCATTCTTCAGAGTTGTAAAGTAACTAAGTACAAATACTTTGTTACTGTACTTAAGTATAATTTTTGTGTATCTGTACTTTGAGTAATTATTTTTCAGCCTACATTTTACTTCTACTTCTTACATTTTCACACAGTTATCTGTACTTTCTACTCCTTACATTTTTTTTAAAAAAGGCACAAAGTAGAAAGTCGTTACTTTTATTTCATTTTTGCTTGTTTTTATTCCAGCTTGTTATTGTGAAAAACAAATACTATCCATATAAACTGTGCCTCTCAAACAGAGTGGATTTAATTGTGGTTTAATGAGAAGTATAAATACATAAAACTCTGATACTGTATTAGTTTGTACACAAACAAATCATGTCACACAGGACATAATCGTGACATAATCATTAAAATAAAAGAAAAATTAAAATAAAAGGACTGTAGAGTATATTTCATGAATTATATTATTACATTTGGCCGCAGCCCTCAGATAGATTTTTATTATGGGGAAAAGGTTTGTGCAGCCTTGATTTATGTATTTAAACTGAAACAACTAGACAACTGCATCCTTAATTTAACATCAATTGTTTTAATATGATATTTCTGCACTGTTTTGGGGAGGTCACCTCCTAATAAATGTCATTACAGAAAATCTAACTGCTCATTTTAAATCAATACTTTCGCTTTTAATACTTAAGTACAGAAAATATCAGATACTTTAAGACTTTTACTCAAGTAATATTCCTAAAGGAGACTTTAACTTTTACCAAAGTAATTTTTTGGTAAGATACTTGTACTTTTACTCAAGTATCACTTTGTGGTACTTTATACAATACTGCCGTTCTTTAACCAGGCAAATCCCATTGAGATGGTAGATGTCGGCTTGAAGGCAACCTAGTGTTCATAATTTTGTGTCATTTTTGTATCATTCCGCAGTATGAAACTGCGATTTGTCTTGTACAGATAACTTTCATATCAGCCTTTGTCATTTAAGGAGACAGCTGGCCTGACTGCAGTTCAGCAGGCATTTACACAGTGATCTTGATGATATAATAAACTTTATCGGTCACCAGCTGAGGGGATCGGGTCGTCTCCATGGTTGCTGTACGATGCACAAAAAAAACATAACCCATTATCTTGAGAAAACCATCCAAAATTAACCGTTATCTAAAAAAAATCTTCTCCACAAGAAAATCATGGGAAAAAATTATGTGTGGAAAACGGCTGCTCTCGGTTTTTCTAAAAAATTTTTTTTAATCAAACACAATTACATGTTCAAATGTCTCCCAAGCGTCTGCGTCTTACTGTAGCTGTGATTCGCGGGCCATGCAGTTGTGCGTGCAGAATGGCATCGTTCACGTGGTTTCGAACTGCCATAAGAGCCAACTCCATGCTGTTGTGGTTGCTGCTGGTTGCTAAAGTAGCAGCTAATCGTTGGAGCAATACCACCAAGCTTCCCCAGGGGGCGCCCAGTTCAGAAACACCCACCTAGAGTTGGAGAGGCAAGAAAAATGAAAAGTACCGAATAATGGATACAGAAAAAAAAGTCCATGAAAATTACAAACCAAAAAAAAAACAGAATAAAATAAGATCTGGTTTTCATTTGAAACACAGGAGCCACATAACCACTAAGAGGTGTATTAATTAAGCAAATTATTCTGTTGTAAGAGGGACATCAAGATTTAATTTTTTTTAAAAGTTTGCTCCTTCTTTCTTTTTCTTGCCGTTTGAGCATTCTGTCCTTCGTTCTTGTTGAGAATAATCACGCTGAGGTTTTATTTCTTCTACAACACATTCTCCGCTTTCTAAGAAACGCTTGAGCAGCATAAACAGTGTTATCATTCAGGTTCGGGCTTTTTTTTGTGGGTGTTCTTTAAGCTGTCTGGTGAATTTCAAAGCAAACCAGTGAGATGCTCGGAGACGCTGCCAGTTCCACCCCTCCCAGCTGATAAGGTTAACTGGCGACAGGTTAGAAACGTGACTCGGTTTCTAAAGAGCGTCACAGACTCTCTGAGAATGAATTAAACAAACCAACTCCTTAAAGGAGACATGTCATGATTTAAAATCCTTCTTTTTCATGTTTTAAATCATTCAGCTGGGGTCTATGTAAGGTGGAACTGCAATGCTTTGGTCTGAATTCCTCCCTATTTTAAATTTACTGGCGCCTCTTTCTGGTGTGCCTCAAAGCAGCTGGTTTTGTGACTGTTCCTTTAAGACACTTCAAGCCCCGCCCCCCTCCTACGGTTAATATACATCTTTGCAGCACCAGCAGAAACTAAACTTTTCTGCACTCCAGAGATTCCAAGTACACAACAAAACATATTTAAGAGCTAAAAAAGTGGATTTTGCATGATGTCCCCATTAAAATCCTTTTTTTTAATGTTTAAATCCTTCATTTTGGGTCTAAATAAAGTGGAAATGCAATGCTTTGGTCTGAATTCCTCCTTACTGTAACTCCACAAGCCCCTCTTTCACCCCTTTTCTGAGGTGTGTATCAGATTAACTCATTTTAAGGCTGTCTCTTTAAATCCAAATGAGGCGTGTCATGTCATACCCCGCCCCCCTCCAGCTTCCAGAGCCGCCCATTCTAGTTTGATAGAGAGGTTTTTGACAACATGGCAGCATAGAAACTTTTTATTTACAAACTGATTAAAATTAATGAAGGAAGACTTGTCCAGAGTCTGATCTAGAGCTGCAGGAGAATGAAGACCACCAAATTTTCAGTTGGCAAGTCCCGACATTACTTGGCAGTTTCGTTGCAAAAACTTTGATGTTATTGCTCCGAAAACGTCATAGAAAATGGAAAAAACTAAATGAGTTGAAAAATATGACCCAAACAGAATTTAAAGATATCTTTGCAACACCAGGAGAGACCAAATTAAACTTTTCTGAACTCATAGAGACTTCAAGTACATAACAAAATGTTTTTAATGGCTAAAAAGTTGATTTGCATATGTTCCCTTTAAGTTAATTATTGTGGTATCAGTGGGTTTCTTAATAACCACTCCACACCATCCCTTATAACAGAGATTCTTAGCCTATGGGCCGCGAGCGCCACCTTGAGGGCCTCAAAAGAACAACAGTTTTTAACTTTGGGCCACAGAGGGCCGTGGGACCGCATTGATTTTGAATAAG